TTCACCACTCATGGAGTAGCTGTCCCTCTAGAATTGTGAAGTAGATTCACTTATAATAAAATAGCACACATTTTAAGATGTGCTTTGACATTTTTACAAAATCTGCTATCTCAGCCAAGTTTTCATGCCCTGTGAAACAATTATTCTTCCTCTTTAAACATACAGAATTATTTGTTTGAAAAGCAACATAGTTTCTACCGGCAATACAGTCAAGTTTATTCTATCAATGTTTCCCTTTTGTAAAAAGTAATGTAGTTCCAAAATGTTTATCATTATATGGTTTTGTGCTGTAAAATTGTTTGTTTGTGACACCCCCTACAAATGATACAAAAATATAAAGTCTGTTTTCCTATAGAAGCATTAATACCACATTTGGGCAGTTAATTGGGTTAGGTTAATGGTTAAGAAGTAATCTTTTAATCTGTTTGAAAGACAAAGGAGTTGGCTATGAAGTCATTAAATCTGAAACCAAACACTCAAAGTGCACTTTCAAGCAATAGGAGTGATTTCATCCTATTGTCAAGGGCCTTGTTACTTAAAGGAATTACTTTTGAGTGTTGTAACCAAAGATATGTCTCATTTTCTATTGGAGACAGGATTGGCAAATGCTGATAAATAGTTGTTTTAATGCTCTTAAATACGCTGGCTAGCTCCAGTCAATGTCGTAATCCCATTTCACCATTAATGTACCATATTACATGTTAATTTATTATCTGCTATAAAACTGTGAATATACATAGATTACTAATTTTGCTTCAACATCATCCAAAGCAATGTATATTAACTTTGTGGATATTTTTATGCTCTGGACAGTTAGCAATTTCTCTCCTACAAACAGCTTGAAAGGATGGAAAAAGTGAAATAGAAAAGAAACAAAACTTTTTCTCAGCTTATAAAACTTTCTAATCCTGATTATTTTAAGCATTACTTACTCATCATGTGAGTAACTTATTTGTAAACATAAATTTACAACTTTCTCACTCCAGAGTACTGATAAGGAAATCCTCTGCTTCTAGTTTTCACACCCTCCCCCCAAATGATATTGGTATGATATTGAAATGATATTCTTATAATAGAGTCATTTTTTCTTTTAACTACATAGGATATTTTTTTTTAAAAAAAGAAAAAAAATACCTGATTTTTTAAAAATACTATATGAGATCTGAGATAGAAATTCAGTATAAATACAGTTCTTTTTTTTTTTCAGAAAAGTACCCTGTTTGTCTATCTTTTCTCCTGCAATACATAATACTCTGACTATTTTATTCAGGGCCTGTGAATGTCTTGTAAAATGAATGCCGTTTCTGTTATCTATGTTATGGAATTCTCAGAGTGTGTTCATAGTATATCGTGCAGATATTGATGTGGAAGAGATTCCCTTTAAGGTAGATTGTTTAAAACATGTACTTCAGTGCAAAATACGTGAGTTTTAGAACAAAATTGCATTAAGCATTGTGTGAGAACAGGTTCTCACAAGGTGACAAGGAAATAGCTTGATACCAAATCAGTCCATCTGTTATCAAAACAAGAAACAGATGGGAACCATTGTTCCCTTCCCAAAAAAGATTGGCTTCTAGAATGAATGAGGATATTTCTCCACAAAATTCATGATTTGGAGGTGTTTCTTAACTTGCTACTGCTGCTGCTTATATAATACAGAGGTCCCCAATCTTTTGGGCACCAGGGACTGGTTCTGTGGAGAGAGGTTTTTCTGCGGACTGGAGGGTGCGTGGTTTTGTGTGCTGCCTGCATCTCACAGATGGGGCTCTGCTTGTTTGTGCGGACTGTTTGCTGGCATGCTGTGGCCTGTTACTGGTCCATGGACTAGGGGTTGGTGACCCTTGATATAACAGGAAGATGTGGCCAGGGACGTCTTCCCCCAGCTTTGGTATAATTTTACTTGGACCAAGCTGCTTTGGACCTGGTAACCCATGCCTACCTTACCATCTGGCTAGAGTATTATGATGTTATTTACATCAAGCTGCCTTTGGAGACAGTCCAAAATTTAGTTGATATAAAATAGGGCAACTGGACTCCAGAATAACACCAATTCTGAAGTTATTGAATTGCTGGTAGAGTTCTAGGCTGAATTCAAACTCACACTTATCACTTTTAAAGCTATTTACAATTCATCATTGGATCATTCATTGGATCATTCATTCATTCATTCATTCATTCATTCATTCATTCATTTTCTATGCCTGCACATTTCAATCAAAGACTCTGGGCAGCTTACAATTCCAAATATATATATCAGGCAATGCCTTGCTAAAACTGAACCACCCTCCCATCACCCCCTGACCCATAAAGAGGGGCTTTCTGCAGACTTCCTTCTTGTGATGTTCATGGTTTACAGGGAACAGTCTCCATCCAAAAAGTATTTCAGAAGCAAGTATTTGAAAACAGGCAAAAGCAGCACCATTCTAAAGTTTGGATCTTAGGTTAAGCTAGTGGCACTTTTGATGTGTTGGGTAGAAAGAAATAAACAACATTTTTTCTGCCTTTGCCTTCCTTGGTAATTAATACCCTAACTTGCATGTATATATGAGGGGAGATATAGAAGTAGATTCTTCTGCAGGATCAATGTCTTCTTTAGTCACAAAGACAAATGGCTTACACTCCATTTTAGTTCAAAGAGAAAAAAGGAATGATGAGGAAGCTGAAAAGGCTGACTCAATTGTGCCAACACAGTCTAAGAAACAGAGCTTGCATTTAAGTTGCTTTTTAACAGTGGGAATGGAAATGTTGGGATCAGCAGATTTTCCCAGATCAAAAATCAGTTGTCTTACATCTCGTTTTTTGAGATGCGGAGCAGGGAATATTCTTAAAATGCTAATTATTTCCATCCTGGGTTGTTTTATTAGTTTTCCTTTCTACCTGTGTGACAATATTTGCATTATGTTGAGGAGGTGCAGTTACTTTCTATTCTGCTCTTGCCATAAGCATTTGTGGCCTTTTAAATTTTAAGTGCAGTAAAAGTATATACAGAATCTGGTTTTCGTTCAGTAAAGCGTTTTGGTTATGCCTGGCTTTTTAACGTTTGCTCCCCACTGTTCACTAGTTACATAGTTAACAAATTGTGTAATTGAATATTATATATTGAGTTAACATTTAGGGTAATTTAAAAATTCAACTATATACAAAATACAAAAATACAATATATCGTTTTAGGTAATTAACTAATTACGGTGCATTTCTATTGCTCAGGAGTTGGATATTTATTTTAATTGTTGTTGTTGTTGTTAATTGCGAAGTCGTGTCCGACCCATCGCGACCCCATGGACAACGTTCCTCCAGGTCTTCCTGTCCTCTACCATCTTCTGGAGTCCATTCAAATTCACACCTACTGCTTCAGTGACTCCATCCAGCCATCTCATTCTCTGTCATCCCATTCTTCTATTGCCCTCAATCTTTCCCAGCATTAGGCCCTTCTCCAGTGAGTCCTTCCGTCTCATTAGGTGGCCAAAGTATTTGAGTTTCAACTTCAGGATCTGGCCTTCTAAAGAGCAGTCGGGGGTGATCTGACCGGTTTGATTGCCTTGCAGTCCAAGGGACTCGCAGGAGTCTTCTCCAGCACCATAGTTCAAAGGCCTCAATTCTTTGGCGCTCAGCCTTTCTTATGGTCCAACTTTCACAGCCATACATTGCAACTGGAAAACCATGGCCTGGACTATACGCACTGTTGTTGGCAGGGTGATGTCTCTGCTTTTTAGTATGCTGTCTAGATTTGCCATAGCTTTCCTCCCCAGGAGCAAGCGTCTTTTAATTTCTTGGCTGCAGTCCCCATCTGAGGTGATCTTTGAGCCCAGAAAAATAAAATCTGTCACTACCTCCATTTATTTTAATAGCAACTTTCAAAGGTAGAAAAAGTAATTCACCATCAAAGAAGAGTCATTTTTTTATATTGGGATCAAAATATCTTAGGTATAAGTAGCCCTTGACTTACAACCATACATTTAGTGATCGTTTGAAATTACAACAGCACTGAAAACAGTGACTTACAACTGGTCCTCTTTATTGCAATTATTACAGCATCCTGATGGTCACATCAAAATTCAGGTGCTTGGTGATTGTCATGTATTTATGATGGTTGGAGCATTCTGGGGTCATGTGATCACCATTTGTGATCTTTGCAGTCATCTTCTGGCAAGCAAAATCAATGAGGGAAGCTCGATTCACTTCATGACAATCTGATTCACTTTACAACTGCAGTGATCCGTTTAACAACCATGGCTAAAAAGGTCGCAATCTTGAGTGCAACTCACTTAACTTTGCTTAATGGAAATTCTCATCCCAATTGTGATCCTAAGTCAAGGACTTCCTGTATTTTGTTTTGATTGTATAGGTTGGATTTTCATTTTGACCAAAGCACCTAGATAAGCCCCATAAATAGTTAATGCTTCCCCTCTTTGAGTCTTTATTCTGGTTCTTGGTATACCAAGATAAAAAGAGCTCTTCCTAGTTCTTTTCTGGTTGACATAGAAAACTGTAATATATACTTTGGGGCAGCTTTCCTTGTGTGCATTTCCAGTGTTGGATTAAAACTCTTACCATGCTTAGATGGAGATTAATTAATTAAGAGTATTAATCTGAAGATTATAATATGGAACTCCCAGTTTGGAAAAGCTTCTCTGGTGCTATAATCCACTAGAGCTGTGGGGATTTAAAGAATCATGAAACCAATAGCATAAACCTGGGGAAATTGGAATTTCTTTTTTCTTGAGCAGTAGATTTCCAGCGAACCTCTTTTTGAAATGGAAAAGAAAAAAAGCAGTTTTCTACACATTGGAGGATCAATTAGTTCAAGAAAATATCAAGTATTCAGTTATCTTCTCTGACTCTCCTGTGCAAAGGTTTCATGGTGTAGCTTTTATAAAGATTCTAAGAAATTATAATAGCTGGGCAAAACTCCCTGAGAGGCAAATGCCTTTGAAAGAAATTGAATATTCTTGCTGATAATTGGAGGGTTGACTAAAAGTATTATCTTCTTTTCTCTTTAGTTTCTATGCTTGAAGAATATAAGAACATTCCTTTCTGCCTGTTGTGAAATATTTGGAATGAAGAAGAGTGAACTCTTTGAAGCATTTGACTTGTTTGATGTTCGTGATTTTGGAAAGGTATTTACAAGACATTCTTTATCTTTATATGACTGTGTTTATGTATGTGATAATAATTGCATAATGATTACTCTCTTTATTGATGCAACTGATGACTGATTAATAGGTACACTGTTTTTTAACATGGGAAATTCATCTTGATTATAGTGTATTAGCATCTATTTGAAATTGTCTTTTCAGTCCCTGTGATTATAGTTTATTTTCTCCACACGGGGAAATGCTTATAAAGATGTATAGTCACAGAGAAATTAAAGATGGTGTTACATCCATTTAGGTGGAAATAAAAAGAATTCCAAATCTTGAAATAATTTATTAGCTTGACCCAATTGGAAATAGCCCTCCCAACTTGACACTGCATTAACTGAAGATAAATTGTGATTGTAATCACCAGAATATTTTAAAGGAAGGAATTCTTAATGTAATAATGGACATGGTTTCATTAAGGACATGATGCCCTTTAAAAAAAAAGTTTATGCATTTTGTTTTGGCAGCTCTGGCTGCTGATACACAATGTGTTTCCTCTGTTTGCTTTGGGAATTACACTAGCATGGACATGCATCATTTCTAAAGTAATTTGGACAGGAAGCATGACACATAGCTTTATTCTCTTGTCTGGTGTTTTATAAACTTTTTTTAAAGGGAAAAAAAAGCAGGAAAGCCATAGTTAAATATTCATCACCCTTTTATAATAACAATAATAAAATTGGAAGGGATCTTGGAGGTCATCTAATCCAACCTCCTGCTCAGGCAGGAAACCCTATACCAGTGGTTCTCAACCTGTGGGTCGGGACCCCATTTGGGGTCAAATGACCATTTCACGGGGGTCGCCAAACAACACAGTCCGCCATTTTTCCCCCTTTTCCTTAGCTGTGCTACTCCCTTTTATTCTATTGGCTTCTGAAAACCAATAGAATAGACTCTCTTGAATAGGCTGTCCAGGCTGTCTCTGCCCTGCTGAGCCCGCCAAAAGTCCCATTCTGCAAACGGTGCTGCAAGTTGTCTGCAGCGAAGGTGAGCTGTCTGGAAGTTTTCACCCCTCCCTGCTAAGCAATTACTAAAAATGTAAGTAAAAGAGGGCCAGAGGTGGGAGATGGGAGGCCGGCGGGCGCAGGGAGGGTTGCTGGCATGCATGGGGCCCGGCGGGTGCCTTACCTCCCTTGGGCTGGCCCAGCTGGTGGCCCAGCCAGTGGTCGGCCTGCTCCATCTCTGCCGCTTGCCAGCTACACCTCGGCTGGCACAGGGGGCGGCACCACGTGTGCGCGGCGCTCCCGGGCAGGGAAAGTCCTCGACTTACGACCGGTTGGGCAGTCCTCGACTTATGACCGGTTGGGTAGTCCTCGACTTACGACCGGTTGGGGGTCGCGGCATTAAAAAGGTTGAGAACCACTGCCCTATACCATTTCAGACAAATGACTGTCCAGTCCCTTCTTAAAAACTTCCAGTGTTAGAGCATTCACCACTTCTGGAGGCAGGTTTTCCACTGGTTAATTGTTCTAACTGTCAGGAAGTTTCTCCTTAGTTCTAGGTTGCTTCTCTCCTTGATTAGTTTCCATCCATTGCTTCTTGTCCTGCCTTTAGGCACCTTGGAAAATAGCTTGACTCCCTCTTCTTTGGGGCAGCCCCTGAGATATTGGAACACAGCTATCATGTCCCCCTTTGCCCTTCTCTTCATTAAATTAGACCCTATAATATTTTAAAATTAAACTAGAATTAGAATTAGAGTAGAAGACTTCCAAGGACCCTTTAAGTCTGTTATTCTATATTCTATTCTTGTTTCAAAGCGGGAATAATGAATTCTAATCTGGGAAAATTAGCAGTTTTACAACCTTATTATCAACCTGGATTTTTTTAAAATTCTAAACTGAATGTCATGGCTACTCGGGAAGAATCTTGGAAAGTTACTGATAATTCCTTATCCAACCTTTCCCACAGAACTCCCAGGGTTTTTACTTTAAAAAAACATTACATCAGTAGAAGCCTATAGTGTGGGCACACATTTGGAGTCATTAGAAACTGTGCAGGAATTTTTTTTTTAAATACTGAGCCAGTTTTCTTTCTTTCTATTTTTTTATTGAAAAGTTTTATAAAAATTACCGAGCCAGTTTTCTAGGACAACTAGAGATAAATGCTTTGAATAGGCTTCATATTAGAATGCTCACTCCAAATTTGAAATAATTCTAGCCCCCTCCCCAAGAATTTAAGACAATTCTTAAAAAAAAAAAGAAGAAAGAAGAGGAAGGAGAAGAAAAAAGCCAAACAAAAGTGCCAAAGAAAAATTGCAAATATATGGGCGCAGGTATATACTGACTAGGAATTATGCTAAAAAGGACAGGGACAAAAGAAAAAAGCTAGATTAATATTACTTTAATGAATAATTCTAATTAAAAATCCACATCTGTATGGAAAGAAACTGCATTTGTACTCAAGCACGTTAACACACATATTCCTTTTCCATTTTCCAGCAGAAACAGGAACAAAAAAGGAATAGAAATCAACATGATGGGGATGGAGTTAGGGGAGGGATACTGTAGCGGAGTGGTTCTCAACCTGTGGGCCGGGACCCCATTTGGGGTCGAATGACCATTTCACGGGGGTCGCCAAACCATGCTGTCCGCCATCTTTTTCCTTTTTCCCTAGCTGTCCTACTCCCTCTTATTAGTGGCCACACCCACTTGGGGGTCACCACAACATGGGGAACTGTATTATGGGGTCACGGCATTAGAAAGGTTGAGAACCACTGCTGTAGAGGGAACGAAAAGGAAGGGGAGGAGGACTAATTAGGAGGAAATAAAATAAGGTAAAGGATACTTGGGAAGGGATGGATAACACTATTTATAGCGAGTTCCATTGAATTCAATGACTGTTACTCCAGAGTTGGATTAAAACTGTTATCATCTTCTGACTGAGGAGTGTCCTAAGGTAAAGTTAGAGTTTTTAGTCCTGTTCAGACTCTGTGAGATGCTGAAATGGAGTTTTCCAATGCAGCGAGGCAGGATAAGAGTCTAATAGTCCTACCACCCTGTTGATGCCTTTCATGTATAGAATGCAAGAAGGCAGAGGAAGATGCCTCAGGCTGCATTTAACAGAATAATAGAGTTGGAAGGGACCTTGGAGGTCTTTCTGCTCAAGCAGAAAACCCTATACCATTTCAGACAAATGGCTTCTCTTCTCAAAACCTCCAGTGTTGGAGCACCCACAACTTCTGGAGACAAGTTGTTCCCTATTCATTGTTCTAGTTGTCAGGAAATTTCTCCTTAGTTCTAGGTTGGTTCTTTCCTTGATTAGTTTCCATCCATTGGTTCTTATTCTACCTTCAGGTGCTTTGGAGAATAGCTTGATCCCCTCTTCTTTGTGGCAGCCCCTGAGATATTGGAACACTGCTATCATGTTACTCCTAGTCCTTCTTTTCATTAAAGTAGACATACCCAATTCCTGCAACTGTTTTTTGTATGTTTTAGCCTCCAGGCCCCCAATCATCTTTCTTGTTCTTCTCTGCACTCTTTCTAGAGTCTCAACATCTTTTTTATATTGTGGCAACCAAAACTGGGTGCACTATTCCAAGTGTAGTCTTACCAAGGCATTATCAAGTGGTATTAACACTTTGCGTGATTTTGATGCTATACCTCGGTTAATGCAGCCTAGGACTGTGTTGGCTTTTTTGCCCAAGACAGTCTCCTAAGAGTGATGATTCTAGAGAGAAAGATGGTGCTCATTGGGAGAGTAGGCTCCCTGTTCAAGAACTGTATTCCTTATAGCCTCTTAGGAGACTGGGTGACTCTAGAAGCATCATTCTTAGTGGGACTGGGTAACTTATCTGCCTTTCTCCCTCTATTCAGTGTCTTTGCTTGACTTACATTCATTAATTTAGTAACCCTTTGATGTTAGAATGGCACTGAAAAAATTGACTTAGAATCAGTCCTCACCTTTACAACTGCTGTAGCATCCCTATGTTCATGTGATCATAATTTGGGTAATTGGCAACCAGCATGTATTTATGATGGTTGCAGCATTCTAGGGTCATGCGATCCTGATTTGTGACTTTCCCAGCTGGCTTCCAGTAGGCAAAATCGATGGTGGAAGCTGGATTTGCTTAATGATGGTATTATTCATTTACCAGCTGCAGTGATTTGATTAACTATGGGGTAAAGAAGGTTGAAAATTGGGTGGGTCTCACTTAACAACTGTTTTGCTTAGCAATGAAAATACTGCTCCCAATTTTGGTTGTATGTCAAGGATTACCTGTACAGCCAAATACCTTTACCTCCTTCCCATCCCCTCACTTTTGTATCATTTGCCTGTATTTGGCAAATGTGGGGCTACATTAACAATTATTATTGGGGAGAAATAATTTCTGTATGTTTAGGATAGGTTAGTATTATATTCAGTACAAGTACACCAGGGCAAGGTTTTCAAGTAGATTGTTGCTCTTGCTGTGCCTTTGGTCTCTAGCCTTTTCCTTTTTGTTAATGGCAAAATACAATTTGAGTTCAATCTATTTGTCTTGAACAAATGCATTCAAATTAGAAAAGCAGTGTAACTACTGATTTCTATTTTAAACCTTTATGAAAAATGGGGAAATAACTCAAGATTATGAACTCATAACTGCAGGCCCTGGTCTCACTTTAGAAGTAGACAAAAAGAATCACTTGTCACAATTTTTCTTGCGATTTGCCATTTGTATAGATGTGTTGTTTTATTCTCTTTTACCTTCTAGTTATTTTTAAGAAGTACAGTTTTGTTTTAGATGGAACTTTTTTATTTGTAATGGCAAGAAGAATGTGGAAATGTTATTCTATTTCTTACTTTTTTTTCCTTTCCTTTTCTTTCATTGCTATGGAGATATAAGCTAGATATAAACATGATTTCTTTTCTGGACTGCTAGATAGCTCTATTGTTAACTACTCCAAATACTTGAAGGATGTTTTTGTGAATGCTGGTATTTCTTGCATGATTGGCTACCTTATTTATTTAATCTTCTTCTGCTGCCCATTTTGCTTTTA